TCAAACCTATTGGCCCTACCGAGGATCCAACGCCAGAAAATCGATCTTTGAGATGGAATCCCAACTCTTATTGCAAGTACCATCGAGGACGCGGTCATACTACTGATGAATGCTATAGGTTTCAAAATCTCATTCAAGATCTCATAGAAGCAAATAAGATCCAATTGCCTCTAGCTAACGAGAAGACTGGGTGATGATGAAGCAAACGACACAAGACAGAGGCGAGCTTCAACGACGAGATTTCATGACCTTTTTTTTTCTCTTTCTTTTTTTATTCACCCTTTCCCCCAATGAGTCTAGCATAGGCACCTTTTTTTTCCCTTAGATGAATTTTGTAGAATCTTTCCTTTTCCCTTTTAATAAAATGAGTATTTATTTCCTTGCATATGATCATTTCATTACATTGCATTACAAAAATAAAAAAATAAATAAAAAAATAAAAAAAATCATTGTCAAGCTAAGCACAAGGTATACCAATGATTTGAGGCACCCCTTGTAGCCACATCATATTGCCTTTCACCTTTCTAATTTACAATCTTTTCTTCATAAACCACTTTGAGCCTCGTCTAACGATAGACCTTTCATTTTTCAATCTATATCTACCTAACTTTGGGATGGGATGGTGTACCACTTATGCAATTTTAAAAAAGCTTGAGTGACTTCAAAAGATCAAAATAAATAAAAAGCAATAGAAAAAATAAATAAACGGGTACAAAAGGGCAAGTGTTCCAATGTCATTGACATGAATATGTCTTTGATATGAACACATCTCAGATTGCGTCTCTTATCGAGTGCTCGGTACCGTGCCTGAGAAACATGAATGCCAAGTGAGTGATAGACTGTATGATCGGGATTTCCCACAATTATAAAAATAAAATACTACCTCCGTTAAATGTTATGTGCAACTTTTTCCATTTCGGGATGTTTTCTATTATGTGCAACTTTCAGATTTATTCCTATTTTTAGTAAGGAAAAAGTTATGAAGTGACCTTTTTACCCTTACTTAACTCACTTTTTTTTTAATCTTTTCCTTTACTCTAATCTAATCATATTCACCTAATCTAATCAGATCACCTAAATCTAATGACTCCCTCCATTTATTACCCCCAATTCCCCCCAACTCTCTCATTTACTCACATTCCCAACCACCTTCAATTAATGATGATTGTTGAGCTTCTCTATTTCTTCTGGAGATTTCTCCAGATGAACCCTAGTTCATCATCTGGGGTTTTCTCTCTCCTGTGTTCTTCGATTTCCCACTTCCTCTCTCCTTTGATCTTTCTGAAACACTACTCCCTCCTCAAAAATGCCCAACCTGGATCCTTTGAAGGATGCGCACATGGAAACCAACGACAAAGGAGAGGAGAATCTGATCCTCCATCTCATCCACTGCTTCGAGACTGGATCTTCCTTCCCTCGTGAGTTCTATGAGTCAAGTGAAACGGGTCCCTACTGTACCTTATATACCTACAGAGCTCTAGGTCAAGTCCTTAAAAGCATAGATGAGGAAGAGAGGCAGAAGAAGGAGGAAGGACAGGGTGAGTCCCGTCGGAAATCTATTAATTTCTCTGAGGCTCCTCTAGATCTGGTGGCTGAGAGTGCAGAGGGGAGTGTTGTGGCCCCAACTAAGCCCAGATCTAAGAGGGAATGGCCACCACCAAAAGTGCGTTCTTCGAGGAAGGCGGCGCGTGTGGCTTTGCGTAGGATGCATGGGCTCCCTGACAACGAGTACATCGTTTTGTCATCTAATGAGGAGGCTGATGAGGAACCACCATCCAAGAAACCTGAGGCTGCCTCTTCCTCTGTCCCTGTTGTGCAATGCTTCGTGAGGCGAATGAACCCTAGGGTTCAACCCTCTGAGTGATTGCTCTCGTAACGATTCCTAACCCTAATTTATTCTTTAATTTATTTGAGTCCCTATTTATTGATGGATCTGTTTGATTGTATGCTGGTTATATTGTGGTTGATGAAGTCCCAATTTAATGATTGATTTATGGTGTTAAATGTTGTTGTTTGTTGTTTGTTGATGGAGTGTGGATTATTTGTTGAATATGGTTATTTTTGGCCTTGGATTTGGTTGTGGGTGTTGATGGGTGACTGAATAATCCTTGATGGAGTATTGTTGGCTAATTTATTGTGTAATTTGTTGGATTTATTGTTGTTGTGGTTTCTGGTTGATTATTGATTGTTGGTGTCTGATGGGTTATGGACAGAATGCTGCCTCTGATATGTGTTACTGGCCTATAAGGGAATATGGTTGATGAATGATGAGGCTATTTTGGCTTGTTTGTTACATATAATGTTCTCAATGACCTTTTGTGGAAGAGAACACCCTGTATTTGAGTCCCTCATTGTTGCCTTTGTAGTGCTCAGTGTGGAGTCTCTTTCTTATTATGAGTATGTTGTTATTGTGTAATCCAAATGATGAAGGTTTCCATTGAATTTCAATTTGAACAAGTATGTAGCTCCATCATTCACAATTTTGTGAGTGATGTTGAGGTAACCTTGTTTGAGTTGTTGTATTCATCAAACTTATGAACTTCTGATGGTTTTTTTGACTTCACATTATAACCATTTTCATTCCATTCAAAATGTGGCTACAAAAAGCCTATTACATGAGTACTTGGACTTTCACATCACTGCCTTAGTGGTATATGACACTCTAACACACAAAATACACCTAACCACCTATTCATTTAGATTGCAAAACAATAAATAAATAAATAAAACAAACTTCTGATGGTTATGTGTGGCAGTATATGATGTTGTCCTGATTTGATGAGTACCCTTGTCTAATATGCATCCACCTCCATTTCCTATGTTGTTGCATGAGTCTCTTCTAGTGCTGGTCTGAACATTGTGTTCAAGTACTCTACAGCCTCTAGCACTATCTCTTTGTGAACAAACACTTGATTTGGCAGAATACCTAGATTTTCAAGTTTTTTTTGTTCATGTGTGGAATTTTGTATCTATTCCCTTCTTCTTCCTTGAGTATTTTGATCATGCATCTCTGTAGAGTGACCCATATGTACTTATTGACTTCTGGCTTGAATGTGTTGTATGACTCAATCACCTTCTCAACTAGCTCATCAACATTTTTAGGGAAAGATTGATATTGTAAGGACTGGATAGACCTGAAAAGATCTAAATCCAACACATTTAGATCAGGGGATTGAGCTGGTTGGAACACAAATTGAATTTTAAACCCATTGGATGTTGTTGCTGCAACAAACTCCTCATCTCTTGGTATTTGATGTGGCCTTGCATTGTCCCATTGTATGACAATATTCTTGGGCAGACTTTCAGGCCATTTTTCCTTGATTGCTGGAATTACTTTGTTGAGTAACATGTCCCTTATGACCTCCCTGTTTACATTGTGAAGGGCCCTTGTCACCATTGTTCCTGCTGCTCTGTTCTTGCTTGATTTCTTTTCTCTGTCTTGGACTGTGAATGGGAATATCCCATACTTTCCATCATGTAGTAGTTCACCATTTATGCCATACAATGGCTTACCAATAACGGCCATGAACATTGCCTTTAACTTGAATCTTCTTGACTGTTGTGCCATGTATGGATCCTCTTCACTTGGTAGGAGGTAAAACCTCCTTTTGTCAGGGTTCAAGTAGAACCATTTCTCATCTATGTGAATGGCATAACTCATGTCTTCAAAACTGGGGTCCTGATTTCTTTCCACAGGGTTTATATGACTTAAAACCCACTTCATTCTAGCTATCTTGTGATCTGCTGTGAGTGCTGGTTTGCAACTTGCTGTGTGTGCTCTCAACCTTCCCTTTTTCTTCAAGTAGTGCAAAGTCACATGTGAAATGTTGAGTGTTGCTGCATATGACCTCTCTGTCTGCCTTAAATAAAGAGGAACTGATTGTAAGAATTCATCTGTGAATTCCCTTGGCTTTGGACCTGTTTTGCCATACTTTTTGTCCTGACATCAATCATATTCCCTTCTGCCATCTGTTTTTTTTATGTCTGTGAATATTCTTTTGATTGTTGATTTATGCACTCTGAATTGTGTGGAAAGTTGCATTTTGTATCCTCTTGGCAAAGCTCCATCTTGCATCTTCACCAACATTGCATCAACAATCTCTCTTCTCTGATACATGGTGAGTTGTTTTCTGTTGCTTGTAGTTGCTGCATGATTCTGTCCTTGTTGTTGATCTTGATCTTGATGGATGGTCTCTTGCTGACCTTGCTCATTTGTTTCTTGAGTCCCTTCTGTAGACTCTTCTTCATGTTGCATGTTTTCATTGTCAGAATCATAGAACTCTATGACTTCATCTTGAATTTGTTCATCCTCTTCAAAATAAATTTCTGGCATGAGTTGCTCTGTCAGTAATTCATCGATATCAAACTGCTGAGATTCATCAAAATCTGCCATTTTTTTTGGGGTCCCTTCCTTTTTCAGGTTGTTGATGATGTTGTAGGGGTGGCAGATGAAGTTTTTTGGCAAGATGAAGTTGCCCTACACTTTTGTGTACATAGAGAACGAGCAACATCACTCTTGATTATGGTGGATTCCTCTGTGCAGTACTAATGTAGCCTATGCTGTAATTTTTTGGGTTAATAGGGGGCTAATTTCTGAATTTAGGGTCTAAATTTTGGGATAAACATTTGGTTGTAATGTTTAAAAATTGATGATGGTTGTATTTAATGCTTTGAATTATCAAAGCTTGGATGACAATGGGGGCTTCCTTTTATAAGCCTCTTAAATGTTGATTGATGCTCTATTTATGTTGATGTCAAGAATTGAATGCTTGTTTTTTTTTAAAAGGTGGAGGGAATTTTAAACCCTCCCAAAATTTCAAAATGTTCGAAATTTTGACAAGAAAAGAGAGGGAATCTGATTTCCTACCAAGGGAATCAGATTTTCCCACTAAAGCACATGGGGGGACCATTTTTTCTCTCTCCTCCAAATTTAATTAATTCCATCTAACTACACCTTAATCAATGCCCTCCATTTTTTGCATTGGCAAACGTGAACTCACTCAAAGTTGCACAAAACAATTAACGGAGGTAGTAGATGGATATGAATTAATTAACAGACACAAACACCCACCTAACTCTATCAATAAAAACGTCGAATTAAACATACTCTTAAGCTTATCATAATTAGGGCATTCCATAAGCGAGAAACTCTCAGTGGGAAGATCAAATCTAGCAATAAACAGACACTGAGAATGCGACTCCTGAGTAACTACATAATGTAAAGCCTCATTAACAAGAACACCATTATAATGCCCATAGAAAAGATAATATGGCATTCCTTCAATACATCTCCAAGAATTATCATTGAAACTATAGACTTGAGCTTTATTTTTGGAATCAAGTAATCCAAGCCCCTGATTAATTCTCAAAACCTTATAATTGTTGTTCTTACTATCGTATCCAAACCCTAACACCATTGTAGTAAGATCAGGAACTGGAATTGGATTGGAGGGAAGCTTACGATGAGAATTTGTAAGAGGATTGTACAACAAGACCTCGGTTTTAGAGATAATGGAGATGCAAACGACGCGTTGCAAGAACCAATCGATTGGAGCCCTTTGTGGGGTTTGAAGGGGTGATTGAGCTCCGAGAAAGAGAGGTGGTTATGGCGGAGGTTGAGGTCAAGCTCGGACCATTGAAGAGTCTTGTAGGAGAGGAGGAGAAGACGGTCGAATTTGGAAATAAGGGTTTGATTGAGGTGAATTTGGATAAAATTGGGGGATTTGATTAAGGAATTCCAGGATTTACAGACGATTTGATAGAACGATTTGCGAAAATATTGTTAAATTGAAACTTATTTACCATTTTGCGTCGGTACTAAACTTATTTACCAAAATGTTGTCCACGTAGGATTGGGAATACGTTTGGGTCAATTTAATTTTAAAAATAACAAACCGCTACTTGAGGTAGCGGTTTTAGTAGCTAAACCGCTATTCAAAGTAGCGGTTTTAATAACAAAACCGCTATTCAACGTAGCGGCTTTTCTAAATATTTTACACAACTACACTAAAATTAAAACAAAAAAAAAAAGAACAGAAGACCACTCCACTACCCACATCACGCACCCGACATCATCACTGGACCACCTCTCCATCCCCACGAGACCACCACCCACATCACGTCGCCGTCGTCATCTCCATCCTTCTACACACCAGAGGACGACCCAATTCACGTCGCCACCACCAATTGATGAATAAATTGGTTTCTGATATTTACCCCCAAATTCATAAGGTATTTAGCCCTAATTTTTTTTTCTCATTAATTCATTAGTTGTTAAATTAAATTTTTTTGTTGTTTGGTTTGAAATTCACTTCGCCACCACCACTTAATGTCCAATTCAATACAATAAACTCATTTTGGTATGGAAATTCGATGCTATAGTTTCGTATTCCTGATTGTTAGGTTTTGCTTTGGTTGCTTTTGTTTTTCTTGGATTTTGCTTTAACTACATGCCAATTTATCTATTCTCAGCAAGATTACCATGCTTGGAAGATATAATTAATTAACATGACATCCTTTTCTTATTATTAAAAGTGTTGGATATGTACTTACTAAGTTATATAAAATACTACAATTGCCATATTGTACGTATATTGAATGAATGGTCCTTTAGTTGTCAAACTCAATTTATAAATTGTGAATTGTGAAGTTAATTCCAAAATATAATCAATTACATGGTGCTCTAATTTGGCATTTTGTTACAATAGTGCTATAAATTGACAATCTAGTATAATAGTGGTTTCACTTGGGATTGTAGTACAATTTGGAGCTCTTTATTGTGATGTTATTATAGTGCTCTAACTTGACACGTTGTGCTTAAATAATTATTTATAGTGTAATGTAGAATAAAATGAATGTGATTATTTTGATTTTTTTTTAATGGTAAGGTTTTGTTTAGAAATGGAAGAACCTATTGTATGTTATTGGGGCGGAGAAGTTACACAAAGTAATGGAAATGTCACGTATAAAGGTGGTGAGAAGAAATTTGTTTTTCTCAAATCTTCCATGAATTTCTCAATGTTTTTGAACAAGCTATATGAACTTGTGAAATGTGATACAAAGAATGTAGAATTAAAGGTGCAGATGAAATATCCTACTTCTGGTTCATATACACTTCTTCCTCTTAATGACGACATTTCTTTAAGAGCCATGTGGGTTGGTATATCAAAGTTCTCGGGTTCCACTATGGAGTTATACATTGACCAAGTTGTCAAGCAGATAGTAATGGAGACTAACTTGGGGTTATATCCTAGCTCCAATTCTAGTATGCCTCTCCAAATGATTGGAACAAATTCAGAGGTAGCAGTCTCTTTCACAAGATGCTGACTGATGATCTTTATGTTCAACAACATATTTCGGAGCTAACTTCTCCCACACCAACTCCTCACACAGGAACGTCCTCCAGAAATCCCTCTCTAGATGCACTTGATTACATTCATCTTGAACAAGTTGATGGCTTTGGAACCATAGTAGATAATTTGGATAGTGATGAAGGTGATGAAGAAGGTGCATGTGAGGAAAATGACATTGTCATAAAAACAAATGCTCCTTCATAATCTTTTAATGTCGTAGAAGAAATGGATCAAACACTTCGTGACTCATGGATAACATGGCTAGGAAACAATACTTATAATGGTGAATTCAGTGTTGGTCAGGAGTTTGACTCCTTACATCAACTGAAAGATATAGTAAAATCATACTCCATCACTAAAAATCAATCATTTCGAGTTGTTGAGTCCGAGCCATCAAAGTATGTTGTGGAGTGTAAAAGGAAAAAGACACACAATTGTCCTTGGAAGCTGCGTGCAATTAAGGATCCAATGTTACCTATTTTTCGAGTTGTGAAGTATAATGGTCCGCATGCAAATAATTGTGTAGGTGACATTATCTCCGGTGATCATCAAAATCTCACTTCTGAATTTGTGTGCAATATCATCTTAGATCTTGTACGAGTTGATCCTTCTCTTAAAATACGTGCTATTGTACAAGTTATTAAGGATCGAACCGAATTCTCTATAACTTACAGGAAGGCGTGGCTAGCAAAACAAAAGGCAATTGCCATTATATTTGGTGATTGGGAGAAATCGTATGAAGAGTTGCCTAGGTACATGCAAGCTTTACAAGAAGCCAATGAGGGAACTGTTGTTCATTGGAGCACAATAGAGACATCTAATCCGTTTATTCATGTGTTCAAAAGAGTTTTTTGGGCTTTTAAGCCATTTATTGATGGATTTCGGCACTGTAGACCTCTAATCACTATTGATGGGACTCACTTATATGGGAGGTACAAGGGCACCTTGCTCATAGCAATGGCAACTGATGCAAACTTTTATCTTTTCCCTCTTGCCTTTGCGATTGTAGAAAATGAGTCTATCAAAACTTGGTCATGGTTCATGGCATGTCTTAGGCAATCAGTCACTCAAAGAAGAGGTTTATGTGTCATTTCTGATCGACATGCAGGGATACTAGATGCATTGAATAAGGAGGGGAGTGGATGGGAGGAGCCTTTTGCACATCATAGGTTTTGCATTCGACATCTTGCATCTAACGTGGGAAAACACTTCAAAACCCATATGAAGAATCTATTTGGTCGAGCTGCTGATGAAAGACAAAAGAAAAAGTTTGACTTTTGGTTCAAAAGAATTGGTGATTTGAACATTAAGGCTCGAGAATACTTAGAGAATATCCCTTTTCATTTGTGGTCGATCCACCATGATGGCGGGTTTAGGTATGGGATCCGAACAACTAACATGTCGGAATGCTTCAATGAAGTGATGAAAGGAGCCCGTTGTTTACCTATCAAAGCAATTGTGGAAATGACTTTTTTTCGCGTGAATTCATACTTTGTTACTAGGCGAGGCTGGGGCAAGAGGAGATTAGATGAAGGTCATGAGTATAGTGAAAAGGCCTACAAAATAATAGAGAGAAACATGCAAAAATCAGCTGCACATTCAGTTAAATCATTTGATTATGAGATGGGTCTTTTCCAAGTCACTATTGGTCGTGGGAATCGCCCTCCTGGGAAGGGGGATAACAAACATAATGTGGATTTGGTTAAGAAAACATGCACCTGTGGAAAATTTTTAATCTACAAGCTTCCATGTTCTCATATCCTAGCGGTTTGTCGGGATCGAAACTTGTCATATGCCTCGTTTATCGACCCATTCTTTAGCACTCATGAATATAGACAAACATACATTAAAAGTTTCAAACCTCTTCCTGATGTTCCATATTGGCCTCCTTATGTGGGTCCAAAAGTTATTGCTAATGTAAATCAAAAACGAGGAAAACCTGGATGACCGAAATCTACTAGGATAAAAAATGATATGGACGAAGGTGCACGTACCAAGAACAAAACAGCATGTAGCATATGTCGACAAAGAGGTCATAATGCGCGTACTTGTCCTTTAAAGAGTGGTTTTGGATCATCGGGGTATATAATATTTAATTATGTTAATTTTCATATGCATACAAACTTTTTTATGTGTTATTTTATTTATTTAATGGGATACTAATTTTACTTTTTTTTTCAGGTCTCATGGAGCCGGTGATCAACCCGGGACCAATTGACACCTCTGTTCTTCAGCTGCAAGCAAAGCATAGAAGTGAGGGAGTTTGGCGAGGAGATGAGGATAAAATTTTGACATGTAGAGAGCATGTGGTTACTTTGACACGAGACTGGAAAGTAGATGATCGAGTCTTGCGTTATGTTCGAGTGGCGGGATTCTATGGTGTACACAGGTTACGTGGGGATGGAGTCATACTTGATCGGCCTCTTATTACTGCGTTAGTAGAAAGATGGAGGCGCGAAACACATACATTTCATTTGAGAGTGGGTGAGACCACTATTACTTTACAAGATGTTGCTGTCTTGATGGATTTGAGGGTTCATGGTGATGCTGTTACAGGTGCTGGTTCTCTAGGTTGGGCTGATTTGGTTGAAAATATGTTAGGTGATCGACCAGAGTCAGGGCCTAAGAAACCACTTGAAGGCTCATCTTTAAAGTTGAGATGGTTGAAGCAACAGTTCTCTGATATTCCAGATAATGCGGATGATGATGTGGTACAGAAGTTTAGTAGAGCATACATTCTTGCTCTCATGGGATCCTACTTGTTCGCAGACAAAAGTGGCGACTCTGTGCAGCTTGTCTACTTACCCTTGTTACAGGATTTAGAAAAATCTAGTAATTATAGTTGGGGGGTGCAACCTTAGCTTTCTTGTACAGAGAGTTGTGTAAAGCTTGTCATTTAGGTGCTCGGCAAATAGGAGGTCCACTGCTATTGATGCAATTGTGGTCGTGGGAGCATATTCACATAGGACGACCTGTTATATCTAGAGTTAGAGATCCTCCAGACGAGCCAGAGGACTATAATGAGCCATTAATTATTGGATCTCAGCATCAACATGGAGTTGATCCCCTTGCATGCAGGTATGTAGACTTTCGTAAAATTTCATACATATAATTCTATTTAGGGATATATATTCATATTTTAACTCACTGATTTTATTGTTGTATATAGTTGGCTTCGAGTCCACCTTTGTATTACCCATACAGCTTCTGGACTACCTTACTATAGGGATGCACTTGATCATCAGACTGATGAGCAGGTAATGTTTACTTTATACCTCATTTAATTAACATAGTGGATGCATTATTTAATCACTTAATGGATGCATTATTTAATCACTTAATGGATGCATTCCTGTTGCATGCGGTGAATGTGTTTTTTTTTTCTTTTTTATGGTAATAACTTAGTCATCATAATGTAGATGACATGGCAACCATATACCGAGGAGGTTCTTGCATCCTTGCCTGAGATATGTCGATCCGATCATAATGTGATGCGCACTTTTGCGCCATTGATTTGCTTTGATATTGTGGAGTACCATCTGCCAGGACGAGTTATGCGACAGTTTGGTTTGGAGCAAACGATCCCTACGACTCTTGACACAAGTGATAAGTTTCATAAGGTGGATAAACGTAAGCGCAACAAAAACTATGACATTGTGCATGAAAAGTATATAGAAGAATGGCGGAAGCGTGAGGATAGAGTAGTTTTTGGTCATGCATTTAGTGGTCGCACATTGTTACAGTACATGAATTGGTATCGGCGCATCACTAGGACCATCATCACTCCCCCTACAAAAATCCGCCCTTCTACTCATTACCAACCTGCCTCGACTGAGTTGGTGTTGGTAAGATTGACCAAGTTTCTAATTTTTCTTTTAGCATGTTAATTGTTGTAAACTTTAAGTTTCTAATTTTTCTTTTAACATGTTAAATGTTGTAAAATTTTCTAATTTTTGTTGTTGCTGTTTAGCATTAGGTGATATAGCCCAAAGGTGCATGCGAATTATTGAGGCTGTTGGTGATTTGCCTATGGAGAAAGCATTACCGTTGACTTTAGAATCGCTTCGCACTATAAATGCATACCAAAGGTGCATGCAAATTATTGAGGCTGTTTTTTGATGTGTCCTGCGGGAGAGTTACAATTCCAAGAATGCCCTTCGACGCCTGTGCCTGCAAAATCACGAAGACTCCTGGGGGTAGGAGCTCCGCCTCCGACGATCAAGTTAGTAAAGATGCGGGAGGTAGAATGCACGTAATGTAGAAGTTACTTCTCGCGTAATGGGAGAATTCTGCAATTAATATTGCTCGGAGTAAGTGTTTTTCTCTTTGAGTATTTAATGTGAACAACAAATGTTCCAGCCCCCATTAATGAGGGTCCTTCCACTATTTATAGTGGGGAAGGGATGGTTTCCCTTTTAGGGTTTAGAGGACACGTGTCAGCAGAGGATTGGAGCCCTGCTGACCAACGACTGGATGCCACGTGTCACTAGGCCATTGGGCCACGTGTTTAGGGTATTTTTACCCCAAACATTTTCCCCTCACTGGTGCTGACGTGGCAGGGTGCCACGTGGCGCCGGTGAAAGGTTTTTTTTTTTTTTTTTTTTTTTTTTTTTTACAACTCTTCAGATTCCTTTTGAAGGATGGAAAAGCAGAAGGCGAAGAGTCACGACTTTTCACCTTCTGGGACAAATTCTATAAATAGGAGAAGATGTCCCCCGAGCTCTCATTTACAAACTTTGCCAAATTTCTGAAAATTTGAGAGCAGCCGGCAATTTGAGAGTTGAGAGCATTCGGAGTTGAGATTCGTTGAGAGCAACCGGTCTACAGACCGTCTGGGTCGTTGCAAGCTAGCCAAAGGTTTTCGAGAGGGTAATCAGAGAAACCCAGCCGGATTTCGAACCGCCTGCGTCTTCGCAAGCATCCCAGAGAATTTCCAGATTTTCTTCTAGGTACCGTCTCTATTCTTTCTAGCTTTTTCATGTATTTCCGTTTGAGTCTTTTACTCGCATTTTTGTTCATTGGTCCCATAAGTAGATGGACCCCTTATACCCATACCCGGAACCTAGCTGTGAACTCAGCCGGTTTATTAGTACGACTGAGTCTAGAACTGGGTCTGCCGCCTCTGTTCTTTGGGACAACCCTTTTTCAACACCCATATCGACCGACTCTGTGTCTGTGCAGGACACAATGGCCAGAATCCGGTCTACTGCCAGAGATCCCAACTACAGAAGTGGGAGCTCAGATGAGCAGCCGCCTGAGGTCCCAGCTTCAGGCGGTGAAGTAGAGCATGGAGAGGTAGAGCAGAGAGGCTCACCCGGGGGCGCTCCTAGCACCCCGGGTGATAGCATTTTAAACGAAGAGAGTGCTCCCCTCCAGGAGACCAGAGAGCAGGTAGGCTCTGATAAGGAGGTCTCCAACTCCCCAGCCGGCTCTGATGCCGGTCACGTTCAAAGTAGCAGTAGCAGCTACTTAACCGAATCTGAGGATAGCAAGGAGGCGGAGAGGCCTTCTTGGGATAATAGGAACGATCCTCTCATGATCGCCGTCTCCTCTAAGGACCGCGATCTCATGCGGGCTGCGCTGCCAGATTTTATCAAACGGCGGCCGCTGGGGGGTGACTATACAATAAAAGTCCCGGCTGCTCTGGGAACAATATGGTGGGAGGATGGATAACCGAACGCGAACGCTTGGTTCGGGTGCTACGAGGCGGCCTTCGTGGCCGGAGTCCGCTTCCCTCTCCACGACACAATAAAAGCCATACTTAGGGGGTATGGCCTAGGTCTCTGGCAATTAACCCCCAACTCATGGGTAAATATTTTAGGGTATATCGCCGCCTGCGAGATGCAGGGCCTCAACCCCGGCTGGGAGGCGTTTGCCCACATGCATTACTTGAGTAGGAGCCCAGGCGGCTGGAGAGCCTGGTATACCTTGACCACCCAGCCCAAATACCTTATGACCTTGGACAAGCCCTCCAAATGGTCGGACTGGAAGCACCGGTTCTACTTGGTTAAGGCCCCAACTACGGCAGAGAACAGAGAATTCCGGATCTACAACCGGAAACCAGAACTCTTGGGGACCAAGTGCTACCTGCCCCCTGTCCCGGAGGATGATAGAGAGACCATCCTTGACTCCGGGTTTTTTGAGTTAGTTCCTGACACCCTCTCATCCGGAGAGATAGTAAGGGTACCTAGAAACTGGGTGCCCAAACATGAATTTTTTAGGGACGAATGCTTCTTGTCCGCTTGTGGTCTAAGCAGCATGTTTAAAAAACGTATGTATTCGGAACTCAGCCGGTTTCTTTCGAACCGGATGCTTTTCTTTCCTTGCTTATTTATTATTCTAACCTTGTGCCTTCCTCTGCAGAAGAAGCCAAGAGAATGCTGCCCACCGAGAAGACACCGGCTAGGTCGGCTGCCGACATCCGGAAAGCCAATCTCGAGAAAAAACTTGCTGCCCAGGCGGCGAAGAAGGTATAACCGTCTGATCCTTCTCGTTTATGTCAATCCTTTTATCCCATAACTTATATTTTTCTCGTTTACAGGACGGGAAGCAGATGCCCCGGTCCCTTCAAAAACAGGTCAGGCCTCCGCCGACCCAACAAGAGTCTGCATCCAAGGTGCAGAAGACAGCCGACCGGCAAACTACCGGCGGCAAATCAATAAGGGTCCCAGACGGGCCTGGATCTGCGGATGTGCTTTCTGCCATCCCATTGAGGACCGCAACCGGTCCCTCTGAAGGCCGTTCGGGCCGCCAAGGTAACTTCGACCTTACACTGCTTGACCTGCCCATGCGGGTCAAGTCTTATTCACAGTTTCGATCGCAGCCGGGGGATTCTCCAATCAGCCGGCAATCTATAGGCAGAGCATATGCGAGTTTCTCACCGTCTGTTTCTGGTGCAGATAATTCTCCCCGCTGGCCGGACGGGGCACAGTATGCCCGGGCCATGC